TAAAAATTTTACTCAGCTCATTTCACTAACATAATATATATATATATATATATATATCTTTTTTTTTCTGATATTTTTGTCACTTCAACTGAAATTTTGTGTAAAATATTTGTTGCATTTTCATAATTATCAGAAATAGATTAATTATTTGGGAAAATACTTTTAAAATACAGCAAATATTTTTAATTTTCAAAACTATTTATGTTTAAAATGCTAGATTTTTGAAAGGAGAAAAATAATTTATTATACAGAATGTTCTGAAGTTAAAAAAAAGGTTGTTCATACTGTAGAATGTATTTCAAATATATAAATTATAAAACAAATAATATGGAGAAATGTTGGATATTGTTAAGCAGAATGAGTAGATCATTCAGAATAAAGTTGATATATATGTTACAACTGCATCTGTATTGAATAGTTTGACACCTATGGACAGTAGCTTGCAGGGGGGGGGGGGGGCAGAGGTGCCGGGGCCCCCGGGCATCCAACGCAAAGAGTCGAATCGAATAGCAGAACCCTTTCTGCCCTTCCCCAAGGTCTTAGGTACAAGGCCCTGGGCATCACAGAACCTCTGCACGCCACTGCATATGGAATATATATAAACATTAATATATTAAAGATAAATATGTTTATGTATGTTACATATAACTAATGATTTCATAATATACTTAGAAGTGAATAACTTTAGGTGAAACAAATATTGCCATTAGTTTGTAGGTGCTTTCTTAAAGACTAGTGAGCAAGACAGTATAGATGTGAACAAAGTTTTTTTATTTCATCAGGAAAAATACATAAAATAATGCAATAATTTTTATGATATAGGCAGTAAATTTCCATCAAAAACCTTGGAGGCATCTTTAACAGGAAAAATTTATTTTGAGCATACACCGTGTCCAAAGTCTCATGATGAGAGTTTTATAAAAGGGAACAATACATATGCTCAGGTAATGATGTACAAGATTCACATTTGAATTGCGATGTAAGCACTAAATGCATATTGCCTAATGTTAATTTTTTGGTTTGGAATTTAGATTCATTAACTTTAACTGTTGAATTCAGTTACGTTTGCTCCTAGCAGATACTAATACATACCTTTAAATCAAGTAGACTTACCTCTGAAATGATGATAGCCTATCTTTGTTAAGTTTGAGCTCATGCTGCCAACAAGACACGTGACTAAAAATTTCCGAATATCCTTTATGCATTACAGAGCAAGCATTATTTTACCATAATTCTCCAATCTCCTACCTTCCGGATGACTTATTGCATGAACATTGGAGGATTTTACTTAGCTCTGCTCTCCTGCCATAATTTCTATATTCTTATTGACAGTTTTGCTGCTTACTTTGATACAATGTTTCTTCTAGTGCAATTATTTCTGCCACTATCAGAATTTCTGTGACTCGGTTTGAGACCTTACTTACATAACTTGTTTGTTGTGTAGCATACAGGCAAATTGTAGCTACAAAGTCAACTTTGATGGTTCAACTTATTTTTGCTGTTGCTAGTAATACTCTTAATTGGTATAACAATCATGTAAATGTTTCATTTGTATAACAAGTGCTATTTTTTTTGTTTTTGATGAATGTCTGTTTTTTTGGCTCAGGCCTAACTGCCTTCATTTGCTTGCTGCTGTGCTAGCCTTTACCATGATGACACCTCGGCTGCCCTCATTTCTTTTTTTTTCATATTTGTTATATAGCTGTACATATAATAGCCAAACATCTATATCTCTTGAAGAGTTAATCATAAAAAAAGTTGTATATCAGGAGGCTGCTTTTCAATAGTACATTACTGGAAAATTACTAATTTTTTGCAATTTCTAAAATGTCATATCGATATTAACATTAATCCATCAGTTTTTCTTTGTGTTGAACAGTCATTCTGAGAAAAAACTTATTAAGAATAAAAATGTTTCTTTTTGTGAGGGAACTTCATGAATAAAATGGGACTTCTTCTACCATCTGATTGAAAAAAATATTTTTAAGATAGGAGCAAGAATGAAAAAAAAAAACAGAGAGAGGAATGTATTTGAATATACATGTGTATATATATATAATTGTTGCTGTTTGTTTATTTTTTTTTTTTTTGTCCATGGCAGTATTATATACATGTATAATTTTTTGTACCATGTCAAATAAATTGATTTGAATTGAATATCTCCCCCTTTGACACCTCTTATAGAAATGACAACTTTCAAAAAGTACTGAGTTTGGTAGCAGTCTTTTCTTGCACTCAGTAAAATGGCAAGGAATGGTAGCATCCAGCAGTCAAAAATCACCACAGCTACTTAGTGGATCCGAGCACTCTATTGTGCTAGATGCACCCATTGCATCAAAACCCAAATATTTTTGCCAACAATGCTTTGTAGTCAGTCTCTTTTGCTTAAAAACAAATGCAATGCAATTTTCCTTATTGAAGTAACACATTGAATGACAAAAGATGGTTGTAAACAGCCCAATAGACAGTCATATTGTATATACGACATGATCCAAGGGATTGGGTTCTCTGCATATTTTGTATTTATTCATCATTATTTTTAGGAAACTTACTATTGAATTGTTTCAATGCCCATCTACTAGTTTTCAGTATTTAACTGAAAACTTTCATTTCACAGGGTGCTTCCGTCATGTGAAATAATTTTACTTGATTTGTTTATTACTCCCACCTTTTCCTGATAGTGAGGTTGCAAATATTTTTCAAAATGTCATATTCCACTTCTATTCTTTCTTCTCTATTTTTTGACACTCAGTTAATTCTTGAAACTTCCATTGTTTTTTACTGTGACTCATCGTAAGGCTTCTGCACTATTATTAGCTATTCTTGTTGTCCTGATTATTTTATCAGGATCACTTATTTACTTTGATGTCTTCCTAACCTGTAGGTCTTACTGCTATTGTTTCTATTGCCACATGGCTGTTTTACAGGGTACTTCTTCTTTTAATATTTAATATCCATATACATACATATGTATACATTTTTAATGCATTTTTTTTTACCTTGCAGGTATTTCAATTTGACTTGTTTCCTGTTCAGGTGAATCTTACCAGTAAGAGTTGATTAGGGCTTTAACATCATGTTTTGCTTCTGGTCATCATTACCTTCTATAGTCATGTAATGTTTTTGATGTTTCCTATATCTAGTCATACTGTTGATACCTTATGACTGTTCTCATTCCATGGATCTTGCCCCATCCGCATTAAGGAATTGGTTTGTGTAACTGATACGTCTTGTTTATTGTGATGTTTCCTTACCACTTTAAGAATGGATTTCAGGTTACATCATATAATATTTGCAATTTGTCAATATTTTTGACATCTTGATCTCTATCTTATAAGGTGGCATGGAGATGAATCTGCATATGTTTGTGCTAATTTACCTCCGTCACATTACTGTATCTTCACGATTCCACTCACCACCTGTGGTTATTCTTCAGGTGCAAACCTTTTTTCAATAAAATATAAATTCTGGCAGGAAAGCAGAGCCTAATTAAGATCCCCTGAAACTTGTTCAATAAGCGAAGTGGGAGAATATAGAACTATGATTAAGTGTCACATGCTACAATGTATAAATTACCTTTCAAAATATTTAGTCACGTTTTGTTGACAGCATAGTTCAAAGTTAACAAGTAAAGGTTTACAGTATTCCAGAGGTAAGTACCACTTTGAAAGTTAATTTAAAAATGTAAAATTTGAATGAACTGTTTTTGTTCATTTTATTACAAAAGTAAAAATGTGTGCATTATATAGTTTGTCCCTTTTTTTTCTTCTTCCTAATGTATAACTTTTCCTTTATATTGATTAAAGCTGGATATAAGAATAAATTTACAGTTACTACAAATGTTTTATGTTGCATATTAGTAAATTATAATATAAAGTATTTCTCGCTGTTGGTAACATTACTGGTTTGTTGTTTAAATTCACAGTGTTCATAAACTGTTGTGCTATAATATTTTTTTTTTCAGGTCATATTTAAATGTATAGACTACACTGTCAGTGGCTGTGTTATAGATCCAAAAAATATCCAGGTAAACCCACCATGTAAACCCAAAATATCTTCAGGTAAGGTAATTTAATGTTTTAAGCTTTTTGAGATTTTTATATTTACATATAAATACTTTTAGGGATTTTGTGTAATATAAGGTAAGATTATTTGTTTCTAAATATCTCCATGAAATATGCCAATTGCCATAAAACACTGATAAGTTATTTTATTACTCAGTTTTACAATTTTGTTCAATCTTGCTGTTATTGTATTTGCCTTCTATAGAATACTGTATTTTTCACCCAACCTAATCACCCGAATATATATTTTAAAATATTAAGTATGGTTAGAGGGCACTAACTGATTCTCTGTATTTTGATACAATTGATAAAATTTTATCCTACAAAAATCAATTCATAAAATTAGTTAAGGTAACTTCACTTATTAACCAGTTGATCAAAAATATATATATGTATTAAGCACCAGATCATTTTAGAAATAAGCAAAATGTTGGATCTTCATGTAGGATTCTTTTTATTAAAAGTATTTATTTTGCTTCATGGTTTTAACTTATTTTGTAATAGTTCACTAAGCTTATTCAAAGTTTTGGTTCGATGTTGATCTGGGCTGAAAATTATGCTTATTTTGGGAGACATTTAAAAATAATAAAAATTTATTACTTCTTCTTCTCTAAAGTTTTTAGATTTCTCAAAAGAAGTAACCATGGTTAATGTTATCTGTGTTTAGTTGGTGATGTTTAAACAGCTGTGTTACTAAATAAGAAGTAACCATGGTTTATGTTATCTGTGTTTAGTTGGTGATGTTTTAACAGCTGTGTTAGTAGAAAGAACATAACGCTTGTTTGTTATCTATGTTTAGTTGGTGTTGGTTTAACAGCTGTGTTAGTAGAGAGAACATAACGCTTGTTTGTTATCTATGTTTAATTGGTGTTGGTTTAACAGCTGTGTTAGTAGAAAGAACATAACGCTTGTTTGTTATCTATGTTTAGTTGGTGTTGGTTTAACAGCTGTGTTAGTAGAGAGAACATAACGCTTGTTTGTTATCTATGTTTAGTTGGTGTTGGTTTAACAGCTGTGTTACTAAAGAAGAAGTAACCATGGTTTATGTTATCTGTGTTTTGTTGGTGATGTTTTAACAGCTGTGTTAGTAGAGAGAACATAACGCTTGTTTGTTATCTATGTTTAGTTGGTGTTGGTTTAACAGCTGTGTTACTAAAGAAGAAGGAACTATGGCTTTTAGTTATGTGTGTTTAGGTGATGATGGGTAGTTTACCAGCTGTGTTAGAAGAGAGAAAGCAATGCTTATGTTATCTGTGTTTAGTTGGTGATGGTTTAACAACTGTGTTAATAAGCAGAAGTAACCCTGGCTTGTGTTTAGTTAATGTTGGTTTAAAAGCTATGTTAATGACCTTTTATTTGTTTCAGAGAGATTTGTAAGCAGCACTGACTTCAAAATCTGGAATTGCTTTGGAGATGTACCATTCTCCATTCCGAGATAACCCTACTTCAGACATCTCTGCCATTTAAACCTCACAGTTAAGTTGGGAACAACAAGAAAAAATATTATGGAATAAATAGACTTTTTACAACATTGGAAGAATGATATCATAATAAAATTAAATATGTATCTGCCTTTTAAGGAAACAAACCTTAGTGTAATTTATACCCAAATTAATATTTAACTAATTTAAACCTCATGATATAAATACTTAATTTTTCTCCTAAATAAAACTTTTTGAATGAGAAAATGTTATGTAGTGAATGGAATTCTTTTGTATAGGTTTTTAAGTAAAGCCTTAAATAGTTAAAATATACAAAAAAAGAACATACGTAAAGGTAAATGGAATTTCTAGTAGAGAAAGCAAGAGAGTACAGGGTAACACAATACTAGATATATTTTATTTTTTTAAACACAATTTTTCAGGATAAGTATGTTAAATAATCAAACACCAATATTCATTTTACATAGAATCTCTAATGAAGCTCAATCCTGTTGCTTATATTTCACACTCCCTATATCAATAGAAGCATTGTAATTGTCTAGTTAAAATTAGATGTGAAACAGTAGCATTTGCTTCTACAAAATAACTTTCCTTGGAGCTTTGGAAAAGTACAAGATTACATATTTACCAACTATAACACAGTAGTGTCAACTTGCTTATCTAACATTTCACAGGGTGGCAGTTGATAATGTTTTTGGACAATGCATATGTGATTAGGTTTTGGTTTCTGTTCATCCAAGAACGTTGCTTAGAAAATTTGGAATACTATGAATGTTTTGGAACTTAAAATTTCTTTACATGATATGCACCAATTATTATCTGCATAAAAAGGAACAAATAACAAAGTTCTTTCATAGTATGTACCTTTTAAGAAGAAAAAATATGAAACTTTATATTAATACAGAAGACAACTTAATATTAATACAGAAGACCTTAGTCTTTCTTTTATAGCATTACTCATGCTATTTCAGGACCAACTAGTGTGTATGTTTTGTATCATGCATTTGTTTGTACAGTTATGTGAGCTGGTTTTAAGTGAATATATCTTGGTTGTAACATTATTTGGAATTCAACTGCCTTTTTGAATGTAACTCACATGATGATGACTCAAGTCTATATTTCAAAACATTGTAATTATTAAAATCAAAACATGCTTACTTTAAAAGTTGCTGTTACTGTATTTTTAAATTTAATTATTCAGTTCAGTAGGTTTCTCACTAAACATTAAACTAAAGTTTGAGGTAGCTTTTTAATTTTCAGTTTGGTCTTTACAGAATTTAACTAAATATTTTACTGACAGTTTTACTAATCAACAAGTAAATGCCAGTATGGAAATTGTTAAATTTCAATTCAATTTAACTTATTATAAAGGACAGCTTTTTAATAAATTTTAACTTTTAACCAATAAACAGTTTAAGCTACTTATACAAACCTCAGATAGAAAGGATTGCATGTTTCTTTATTGTGTGAAGTTCTGTAGGACGTCTAAGATAAAATTCACAAACAAATGGAGGAAATGAACTAATAGTCTGATTTGATTTGTTTTTTTAAAACGTGTGCAAAGAAAATGGATATGAAATTTGATTCGATAATTGTAACACGGTGATAACCCAATTGATTTCTGATTGGTTCATGGTATATTTTGTAGGTATTGTTTTTGACCATCTCGACCTGTGCATGATAGAGAATGAAGTGATATAATTGCAGAGAAATAAAGCCATCTAGAATCAGAACTTTTTTGATTGCCAACTAAGATGTTCACTGTTTGTTAGTAATAATTTTTACTGACATTGTAAATTGACAAGTCACTTTGGTCCCAAGGAAAATGTAGAAATTTTCAACCCCAAAAAAATTAGTGGGATTTTAGATGTAGCAGTTTTGTAAAGAAGTTTATGAACAAATTGACTTTTAAAGGAATACGTTTCCTTCCTTGCTTCACTGTTGTGCAATAGATCTTTAAGTTTTGTTAAAAATAGTTCTATTATTGTTTATGGATGGCATTCATTATTTTCTTAACTGAAAGTAGACCATCTCCATGTGAAAAAGTGAAAAAATAGTTTTTTTTGTAGGAAGACTGGGAACTTGTCATTTCCTCATAAACTAGACATGTGACTGATATATGATATAGTATACATTGTCAGCTTTCAAAGGTATCAGTAAAAAGTTGACATATTTGTTTATAATAGTACTTGGGCATTAATAAAGTGTAACAGTTTAATGTACTAATAAGGTTGTGTACTGAGGCCGGAATGAACTGGAATGCCACTCCACTACTTTTATTATTGTATTGTTTAAAAACAGTTCAAGTAATATTTTATGACCCGGAGATGCCATGTGAACTATAGGTGACATATCCGTTTATTTTTATGACTTGGATATGTAATTTGGTTATATAATCTTAACTGATAAGTGGCTGGTAATTATAAACAAATTAAATGCCTGTAATGCCTCCTACATATACATGTAAACTTCAAGGGATTTTGTTGGCCATTTTGCACAAAACGTTTTACTGCTAGTAAACAAGAACAACTTGGTCACTATATAAATATATAGGAACAGTTTAGTTACTACCAGTAAATAGAAATAATTTAGTTATTCCTCTAATAATGAATAATATAGTTCCTCTGTTGATATAAAATAAGTATTTTAATTACTTTGTTGATAAACAGGAACAATTTAACTACTCTGGTAATAAACAGGAACAATTTAACTACTCTGGTAATAAACAGGGACAATTTAACTACTCTGGTAATAAACAGGGACAATTTAACTACTCTGGTAATAAACAGGGACAATTTAACTACTCTGGTAATAAACAGGGACAATTTAACTACTCTGGTAATAAACAGGGACAATTTAACTACTCTGGTAATAAACAGGGACAATTTAACTACTCTGGTAATAAACAGGTACAATTTAACTACTCTGGTAATAAACAGGGACAATTTAACTACTCTGATAATAAACAGGTACAATTTAACTACTCTGGTAATAAACAGGTACAATTTAACTACTCTGGTAATAAACAGGTACAATTTAACTACTCTGGTAATAAACAGGTACAATTTAACTACGTTGGTAATAAACAAGTACAATTTAACTACTCTGTTGATAAACAGGAAAGATTTAATTACTCTGCTATTACACAAAAACAATGTAACTTGGCTATTATATAGAAATTTAATTCTTAATGTATCAAAGAGATCACTTTTAAAAGTCAGTGTAATGGTAATAATTTTCACCAGACAAGAAGTATGGTGTACACTGAGTGGTCACAAGTAAATAGACACCTAATTTTTCGTCATTTAACTGATTTATGCTAACTAATTTGTGTTCACAGAGCACTATATAAATGAAAATGGTCCGCACACTAATTATCTTGTGCTACAACATGCCTAGAACTGAAGGTTCTCTCGAATTGTCAGATTGTGTTAGAGGAAGAATAGTTAGTCAAGCAGATGGTGGAATAAGTCAGCGGCAAATTTCGCAGAATTTGGGAATCCCACTTTCGACAGTCAACAGAATCATCGTGCAGTTCAAAAAACACGGCAAGGAAACAACTGAGCAGGTCGTTAATCTGGGATCCATTTCGATGCTCCTCTTGACAGCCCTTTTTGTCCTCTCCGATGGACCAGGACGTGCAGAAGTGTCCAAAGTTGGTGGGATGAGCCCGAAATATGTTCAACGGATTCTCCACAGATTGGGTTATCGTTGCAGAGCAGCTAGACGGAAGCCCTTATTAAGACCTGCCAACATAGTCAGACGAAAGAAGTGGGCAAGTGATATGATGACCAAGCCTCTGGACTTTTGGAAGACCGTATTGTTCTCAGACGAATCAAGATTCGCTCATTTTTCGGACAGTGGAAGGATATGGTTCTGGAGAATGCCTCACCAAGAGTTTGGCTCAACAGATTGCAGCCAACTGTGAAGCATGGTGGTTTCAGCGTGATGGTTTGGGGAGCTTTTTTGGGTTGGTGGGAGATCGAGCTTAGTGGAGTGCGTTGGAAACATAAATTTTGCGAAATACGTCGAAATATTGGAGGAAGGACTTTTGCCACTTTATTCCTCGGGTTTCGTGGACAAGAACACAACGTTGTTCCAGGAAGATGGAGCACCGTGTCACAGTGCTAGAAACACCCAAAAGTGGCAGGAAGAAAATGGTATCCAGAAGTTGCACTGGCCGAGCCAATCTCCTGAAATGAACCCCATCGAAAACCTCCGGGCCATACTCGACCGGCAAGTCAAGAAACAAAAAAAAAAACAAAAAAAAACAACAACTTCGAAGA